GGGTGTCACATTATCAAACCGGATGTTATCATCAAGTTGGAGCAAGGAGAAGAGCCATGGATAGTAGAAGGAGCACTCCCACCTCAGAGCTACGCAGGTGTGTTAGTGGAGGCAGAGAGGAGATTGGTAACTGGGGAGTGTTTCTCCTAGAAGCTGATGGTCCCAAACTTTTTTCAAGATAGTTACTTTTCTGAAGTAGGTGCCTCATTCTCACTCCCAAAGACATCTTCCTTCCCCATACAAACCTGTTTATGGAGCTTTGCCCTGCTTACCATTACCTAGAATACTTCTTCCTGTTCAACTTTGGGGCTTGCTTAATCTACTAGCATTTCAGTAACCCGTTATCACAGATTCCTTTTTGTTTTTAGGTATTTGTAAGTCTTATTTTTAAAAGAATGGGACTTTTATGTTATTACCATCCTGGGTTTTTTTTTTTTTTTTTTTTTTTTTTTTTTTTTTTAGGGAGAGGGTATTCTCCTTTACTTTGAAATGTCAGGCTTGATACTATGCCCAGTTTCACTTTTTACTTCGCTTTCTTTGAAAGATTCTAAAATCCCCATCCTCTGCCTGAAAAGTGGAGTCTATCTACTTCATTGGTGTGTGATTTGCTGGTCCTTCCTAAAGTCCAGTCCCTCCCAAGGTTGTTGACAGCAATAACTAGGTCTCCCTCTCTTCCTAAGTGCTCATTTTTATCTTGTCTTGCTGTTTTATTCCCAATGCCTTAAGTAATGTTGTATCACAGCAGCTGCTTAGTGGGTATTGTGTACATAAATATTGGATTTGTTCAGTCACCTCCTCCAGAAATGTCTTTCAAGGATCTCTTTCCACCTACTATGCTTCCCTTAAAGGGCTTTGAGTCTGTCAGGTTTTTGTTTTTATGCTGCACACACCAAAATTGACCTCTCTGCCACCATTCTGTAGATACAGCGTTTTCTGTGACCACAGAGCTTCTCTCATTCTCATATATGTGAAAACTGATCATGAACTCTTCCAAATTGTAATTATCCAGTGCCTGCCTTCCTTCCTTCCCTTACTAAATTGGTCTTCTCTATCCCTGTCATAATCCCCATAGAATCAATGAAAATACAATTCTCAGCAGGTATTGCTGATTTCTATAAGATGAATGGGTTTTGTCTTTTATGAAATTGTTTTTGTTTGTTTTCTTTTTCCTGGAACTAGGAATTGATTCAGGGCCTTCTCACTGAACTACATCCCCAGTAAAGTTTTTATTTTGAGAGAAGGTCTCAACAAGTCACTAAGTTGCCCAGGGGCTGGTCTGAAATGTCTGATCTTCCTGCTGCCTCAGCCTTGCAGAGGCTAGAATTATAGGAATGTGACAGCAGGGGTGTTTTAATCCTCTGTATACTTACCTTCCTTTGAGTTAATGTAATCAAGAACTGTTCTTCTGTGTCATACCTGGATTTGCAAGATGTCTTCATCTGAAGTCTCCGGTTGATCTTAACCTAACCTCACAAAACAGCCTCTCCCATTCATTATGGCTTCCTGGGGGAAACTTAGCTTCTGCCCCTCACAGGCCACCACCGTATTAGCCCTGTGCCAGATGCTTACTGAACTCGATTGCTGCACATTCCTAAGGTCTTCTCATCTTGAGACTTGTCTTTGTGGCTTCCTGTGTCATTAGTGTGTCCTATGCTTTCTAGACAACATATTGTTTAAGTCTAAGCTCAAATTTCCAGCCTTTGTGAAATTTGATTCCTTCCTGGCCCTTAGCATAACTCCATTCTTCTTTCCACGCCATTCCACCTCAGGACAAAACCTAAAAAGAAGTTCCACCTGGTCAGGGAATCTGTACTCAGATAGGATATAGATTTGGCTTGAGCTTTTTGCTATCCTGCATTATGATTATGTGAAAAAAAGCACATATTCTTCTCTCTCAATAGAGTCACATAGAGTAGATAATTTGTTTCTTTGATTGAGGAGCCAGGTAAGTCAAAGGACTTTTTGTCCATTGTTTCAGAAATATGCATAGGCAGGTATTTCTGAATACACATGCCTAAGTCATTTGCAAGTACTAGAAAAATCCTATATGAATCAAATTTCTCATTTCTATTCAAAAGAAAAAGGTAATAAGTGTACTTCTAGGACATTGGTGGCAAACCTACGGGACACATGCTGTTGTGGGCTGTTTGTATCACTGAAAGCTCTAAAAGATTGGCCATTACTGTTCTAGGAGATAGGTTTTTGCTAAGACAAGGGAACAGAACTACCTGAGATAATTTAGAACTCAGCATATTACCTGGAATGCTGATGTTCTCATATAAGACTGTGTCACACTGTGCTGAAATGAATTTATGGGCAGTGCTTGTTTTCAACTTCAAGAGGAAATGGAATTAATTAAGGTAGGAATGGATTTGGAAGCATGAAAAACCCCTTTAAAGGTATGCTTGATGTAGCCAGAGGCAAGAAGTTGAGTAAAGGGAGTGAAAAAAAAGAGCCATAGGGTGTGGCTGCAGCTGCGTGGTGCATGTCAGCTGTGTCACAGCAGTCAGCAGGAGGTGGTGGCACCTGATCTGGTGATCCATCTCTGCCACTTTGGTACATGACTCAGTTGAGTGTGAAGTTCTGACCACTTTCTCGAAAACCAAGCCCTGCTTGGTTGTATCTTATGACTCCTTGTCCACTAAATAGGTTGGTTTTACTGGGACAAAATAATTTTAGTAACGACTCATCCTCGTTTGGAGTCATTATGAATGTGGATTATGAAAAAGTACTGTTTATTGAGTTTCCTTCCCCACCCCATCCCCTTTTATTCTGTTGTTTTGGGATAGTAGCTTCAGGGAAGCCATAGATTTAAGACACTAAGGTTTCGCTTAGACATGGTTTCGCTTTGAATGGATGACAGCCAGGGCAATAGACACGCTCACTTGAGAATTTCTAAAGTGTGTAGAAGTGAAAGCCACGCTTGTGGCAGCAGGCTAAGGGCTCTGTCCTTAACGGTTTGAGCACTAACCAACTCGTGTACAAAATTAAGTGGTGACACTATGTCATAGGAAAAATAAGTTCTTAACTTACTAAACAGATTCTGGTTTTTGCCAAGAGCTATTCTATTCAGAGCACCTTGCTAACTTTCGGTAATACCACAAAACCTCTGGAGGTCAAGCTGTCCTCTCCAGGCTGCAGGTGTGGTGCTGCCCATAGAAGCTGCCCCGAGCTCCTCAGTCACCTCACGCAAGTTCTGTTCTGCCGTCCGAGCAGGAACAGAAGGAATTGCGCATGAGGTTAGTATTAAATCACAGCATCACTAGAATATTTAAGAAATCTGCATTTTGGAAGGGTGACCTGTTTTCTGGACCACATATACTTGCTATTGGACATGGATATTCTAAGACTCTCTTTAAAAGTGAGGCAGAATTTAGAGAGGGAACCCTAGTTATGGGTTGTAAACATGAAATTTAGGTGAAAATCACAGGGCATAGTGGCTCATGCCAATAATCCTAGTACCTGGGAGGCTGAGGCAGGAGGATTACTCTGAGTTGCCAGCCTGGGTTACCTAACCAAGCTCAAGGCCAGTATGAACTATATAGTGAGACCTTGTCCCCCAAACAAACAAATTTAGGTGTAAATTTATTTGGCACTACTATGGGGAAAAAGGCAAAGTAGTGTGGAACATGTAAAATAATGAGAGCGCTGCCATAAAAATCTTGACATGAGGGGACAGTGCCTTAGATGATAACTCATCTCTCCCAAGGATATAACGAAACACTGCAGAGCCAAGGACATTCGCCTCTAAGCTGAGCCCTGCTGCCACCCTGCGGGTTTGCCCTGTTGCTCCTGCGTCTTTTCCTCTCTTCAGTCATCCACCTAGCATCCTTTGTCTACTACACACTGCTCTGTGTCAATATCTTACCTTCTAGAGCCAGTTTTGAGCAAGATACTACAAAGTAGCGAAGACCAAAGGTGCTGTGTTTTTCTTAGTGTATTTTCTTTCCCCACCACTGGAGGGTTGTGTGAGTTTCACTGCAAACAGCTGGGTGAAGGGGCGGCACTGTGTGTCTGTCCTTGAAGCTAGCACCTGCCCCACAGTGAGCTGCTGCGTGCCAGTCTCACTCTGTGCCTTGGGCTGGAGGATACACAAAAGTCCATTCATTTTGCCTCTTTTTAGATGAAGTCTGGCAAGCTGATGACCTGAGGGAGAGAGTCCAGCAAAATGCACATATGTTCTTCATCAATAAAACCCTGGTTGAAAAGAGAGGTAATGTTTCTGAGAAAGATTTTAATGTCGAGATGAGCCCTGTTTCTTCAAGAAAAATAGCCTCTAAATGTGATGCCTGTGAAAAGAGCTTAGTATCTGTTTCAGAATACATTAGTAGTGATGGAAGCTATGCAAAAATGAAACCTGATGAATGTAGTGGGTGTGGAAAGTCACTCCTCCACATTAAGCTTGAAAAGACCCATCCAGGAGATGAGTATGCAGGAAATTACTCTGTAAAAGAAGAGAATATTTATCAGAAAGTACGTATTTTGGAGAAACCTTTTGAATACGTCGAGTGCCAGAAAGCCTTCCAAAAGGACTCAGTTTTTGTTAATCACATGGAGGAGAAGACCTATAATTGGAATGAGTCTGAAATAGCCTTTCTCCAAATGTCAGACCTCAGTGGCCATCAGAGATCTCACGTGGACATGAAGTCCTATGAGTGCCGGGAATGTGGGAAGTCCTTCTGTAAGAAGTCAAAATTCATTATTCACCAGAGGACTCACACAGGAGAGAAACCTTATAAATGTAACCAGTGTGGGAAGTCTTTCTGTCAAAAGGGAACGCTCACGGTACACCAGAGGACCCACACAGGGGAGAAGCCCTATGAATGTAATGAATGTGGGAAAAACTTCTACCAGAAGCTACACCTTATACAACACCAGAGAACTCACTCAGGAGAGAAGCCCTATGAGTGTGGTTATTGTGGAAAGGCCTTCTGCCAGAAGACACACCTCACCCAGCACCAGAGAACACACTCAGGGGAGAGGCCCTATGTGTGTCATGACTGTGGCAAAACCTTCTCCCAAAAATCAGCACTTAATGACCACCAGAAGATTCATACAGGTGTGAAGCTGTACAAGTGCAGTGAGTGTGGCAAATGCTTCTGCCGCAAGTCTACGCTCACAACCCACCTACGAACACACACGGGTGAGAAGCCGTACGAGTGCAATGAATGTGGGAAGTTCTTCTCACGTCTCTCGTACCTCACCGTGCACTATCGCACCCACTCTGGGGAGAAGCCCTACGAGTGTGCTGAGTGTGGGAAAACTTTCTACTTGAACTCAGCCCTGCTTCGACACCAGAGGGTACACACAGGGGAGAAGCCATATGAGTGCAGTGAGTGTGGAAAGCTCTTTTCCCAGCTCTCCTACCTCACCATCCATCACCGGACCCACTCTGGAGTAAAACCCTATGAGTGCAGTGAGTGTGGAAAAACCTTCTATCAGAATTCTGCCCTGTGCAGACACCGCAGGATCCACCGAGGAGAGAAGCCCTACGAGTGCTACATCTGTGGGAAGTTCTTCTCTCAGATGTCCTACCTCACCATCCACCACCGAATCCACTCAGGAGAGAAGCCCTATGAATGTAGTGAGTGTGGAAAAACCTTCTGCCAGAACTCAGCCCTTAATAGACACCAGAGAACACACACAGGTGAAAAAGCGTATGAGTGCTATGAATGTGGGAAATGCTTCTCCCAGATGTCCTATCTCACCATCCATCACCGGATCCATTCTGGAGAGAAGCCCTTTGAATGTAACGAGTGTGGAAAAGCCTTCTCTAGGATGTCATACCTCACTGTGCACTACAGAACCCATTCAGGAGAGAAACCCTATGAATGTACTGAGTGCGGGAAGAAATTCTACCACAAGTCAGCATTCAATAGTCATCAGAGAATTCACAGGAGAGGGGATGTGAATGTCGTTGATGTAGGACAGCTTCTCTGAAGTCAGACCTCAGACAGCCCTTTCAATAAAGTGAGCAAGAAACCCCTAAAAGCAGTCAAAGACTGTTACACAGTTGGCTGTCTGTATCCATGGATCCTATATACCTGGATTCAACCAGTAAAAAATATTTGGTAAAAACATTGTAACTATTCTGAACACATGTAGACTTTTCTTGTCATTACCCAAAATAATACAGTATACAGCAAGTCAACAACTATTTGCATTCTACTGGTGATTATAAGTAACCTAGAGGTGATTATAAGTAACCTAGAGATGAGTAACTGTATGAATTACATGGATTATATGCAAATACTGTACAGTTTTACCAAAGGGCCTAAGCAGCTGCAGATGGAAGGGGTATGTCCTAGAACCAATACCTCCTCCCACCCCAACCCTGTACAGAAGAGGCACTGCATCTGAGAACTCATATAGGTGAGTGTGGATAAGCCCTGTGCATTAGTTGTTGACCTTCATAGGGCAGAAACCACGATAGTACCAAGACCATATGATTCATTAAATACTAGACTAAACAGGAGTAAAAATGTATTAATACTTAGGTGCCAGGGATATAGGTTGCTCTATATTGCTCTGTTGCTCAGTGACACAGCTCCTGCTCTGGCAAGCTTGAGGTCCATATATATATATATATATGGATATAATAGAGTGTTTCACCAAGGAATAGAACTTTGCATATCAGGGAATTCTATCAGTTTAAAGAATGTGGAAACATACTCTTGGAAATTCTTAATACTAAAAGATAATTCTGTTGTAAAAACAAATTTGTTAAGAGAAATAGAAGATACCTTCTGTTAATAAATGCACAGTCTGTGTAAACAAAAGACGTAAAATCAGGATAGCTAGGCAAGTGTGCAGCGTTAAATTCATATATAAATAGTTCCCAGGGAAGACAAAACAGGGAGGGGATTGTTTTTAGTATGTTACATTACAGAAATTGTATGTTCATCATTGTATCCTTATGAATTTGTAACTCATATTGTAAAATTACTCGTCTAAGTAGCACTACCATGTTTGTACTTTAGTGTGCATTGTCATTGAAATTATATTTGTATTCTTCCCGGTATTTATAAATATGCCTTGATCATTGTTAGTGAACTACATCATCCATTAAAAAAACAATGTTTTTTATAATGTCTTTAACTATAGTGAGTCAGCAAAAGAGATAAATTAAATATGTATAAAATAGACTTTTTAAAAAAATCCTGCATAGATGAATTTAAACTGTTAAGCCAGAATTCTCCAGGAGTGAGAAATAGCTTTAGTACTTACTGCACTCTGCACAACTAAAAGATGTACTTAAAATATTACCATTTCTGTTTTTTAATCTATTTTTTATTTGGATGTTTATTTGAGTGTGTTTGGAGCACAGGGACTGAGTAGCATCAGAGTCATTTGTCTCTTTCCAGTCTGGTAGTGTTCATGAGCACTTGCTCTGCTCCTTCTCATCCACGAAGGAAGC